AAATTTAAAACAGATAAACCGTTTAAAAATAAAGATTGAAATGTGTGTCGTGGTAACGTAAATGAGTTTTATTGGGTTCAATTGCAAATGTCCTTAAAACAATAGTTGCTCTAAATTGCTTCTACAATAATGTCATTCAAATCTAAAATTCTCAAAAACGCAAAATAATTCAATATTGAGCACGAATACAGAAAACGGATTTGTTACCTAATTGAACGAGCGCCATGCATATAGCTTAGTGTCCATATAACTTGGRAAACAGTTCAAACATTCGTCGAAATAGTAGGTAGGTACGCATAGTAATTATCACGACCGTCGTCGTATCATCTGCGCGATTCGACACGCCATTGTGCGCGAATTATCATGTATAATATATGAATATACGGCATTGGGTCGAGGAAGAATAATTATAACCCTTCCGCACATTTTTGCATATAATATGGTTCTGCACACCGCAATAACCGCCGTAGCAGTAATCTTTTTAATTCGACAGCCATCGCGCACAATAAAGCAGATAAGCGATGATGTTATATATTATATATTTATACATATTATATACATACCTACAGGGTGTCTCACGATTATCTGATATATTGAATAACTTTTGTTGCATTCAATATTTAAAATTATTTTTTTCTATATAATTTATACACTTGCACCAAATTTGTAGTATATATTTTTATTTTTTAATACTTTTTGAATAAATTCAATATAGCATATTATTTGTGAATCTGATTATAAAAACAATTTTGATGGTAAAAAGATTTATCTAAATTAAGTAGTTTATTTTTTAGAATTTTTCTTAAATTCAATATTTTTTTGGTGCAATTAATTTGGAACGTAATAATTTTTTAAAAAATATAATTTTTGTGAATTTGCTATAATTGAGTATATATTGCTTAAATGATTTACTTATCATATAATATTAACAATTTTTGTCATACGTTTAATTAGTTTTTTTTTTTAGATCTTTCTGAGACACCCTGTTTATATATACGTATATTATATTTGTAATATACTCGTAAAACTATAATATTATATATCGGTATATATACAGTGGACGGAGACTATCGCGATGTATTTGCCCCACTCGTCGTCCGCTGTTCGTCACGAAACCGAGGCCGACCCACCCTGGCTCAGCCCGGTGAACGCCTATTTATAAGTCGGTTGAGCCTCGAAAGTCCGCGTTTACACAATTACGCGCCCGAACGCCACAAGACGCGCGCCGGTTTCCCGACATCATATGCTGTCGGACTCGCGTCACGGCCGCATTACCGTACAGCCATCATATCCAAGCTGGTCGCGGATTTTTCATGTTATTATTATAATTTATTGTATACTGTCGAGTGGGTTTCCTCCTACCGAGGGTCTCGCTCTTTTCGACACAACAAACACCGCGACGCGACCATTGCTGTCATCGTCCGAAATCATCAGCTGCGTCGCACWTCCGAAAACGATAATACTACCGAATAGTAATATATTACAGTGATAAATATCATTGAATAGTAAAATATTGTATGGGTGTACGCATGTGTGCGTAAGTGTGTTTGAAAAATATATACATATTATAATAGTTGTTATATACCACGGCGTGCGTCTCAAGATTCGCACTCGTTTGTCGTCGTCGTCGTCTTATATACTTGCAGATCGATCAATCGATTTAAGTGCAAATTGATCATCATTGTAGTTTCCACCGCTAGAGATGAACAGAAGCGTTCGAAAGGATTCCGCGGACTCCAAAGCAGGGTTGGTGAAAAACGAAACGCCGGACGAAGAGATCAAAGTACGTAAATAATATATAAGTGCCTATAATATATTGTTCGAATGTCACTAAATAATCGATTAATTGTTTATTTACGCGCGTATTTAGTATATATAAGTAGGTAGTATATATAGATGAGCATCACGGAATAAATTATAAATATTATTTTTTTTTTCAAGAAAAAAAAGTCCGTGGCAACTGTGGCCATTGGACAAATAAATTATAATATGTATTATGTACCTATATATATATATAGGTAGTTATTACACTCAACAGTTAGACACTGTCGTACATATATGTATAAAAACTGGCAACTACACCATGTGAAAACACGTATTTTGATATTGCACTATTGCGTGGTGCAATAAACAAATTGCACAAACACATTTTCACGTGACGTTCATAAATGTATATTGTATATATATATATATATATATGTCTGTGACCTATGTGTTAATATGTAGGCAATGTAAATATTATATACATAAAAAAGAATATAACACTTAGATTGCCATCAAAATATATATAGTATACATGTATAACATAATTAATGCATGCACATATTCTAATGCCAAACGTTATGATTTAGACTATTAACCAGTTTCCGTGTCGTCTTATTTTCAGTAACTAAGTACCTACTTTACATATTCCACAGTTTCCACCTTTGTATCATATTACTACTCATTATATGAGTGAATTGTACAATATTTACTGTTAACACAATAGACGATTTAAAAAGTATGATATTAATTAACGAAAAATAGATATCAGTTTGTTTGATTTAAATTACAATAATCTATCAATATGTGTTTACCTAAAAGTATAATCACTTTTATTTTATTTATTGCAAATTAAAACATTTTAGTACACAGAATGTTATTACAACTGAATAAATCACTAATTTAAAGTGTAATTATTGGCGTCCGAAGAATTTTTTCTAGGAAATGGCAATATTAGGATTTGAGGGGAAATTCACAAATTTTTCCAATTTTCTTCGCATTTCTATCCAGAGAAGCTAATTCCCCTACTTGCCATCCTCTTCGAGCACCTATTATGAGTGCAAAAACCAAATAATGATTTGTTTGATAATTCCTATTACTATTAAAATTGTAAACCTTCTATATTTCCTAATATTATACAGCGAATTAATTATTTAAAATCATAATGCCTACGCTATATTTGCCTTGACCTTAATTCATCGATTCAAGTTTTTTTCTAACATAGGACCCTATAATACAGCAGCGCATGTGTCTTAATGCAACACGTGGACAGTATAGTCTAGCGTGAAACACCAACTACAAACAAATTATAAATAGAGCTTTGAAGTTGCACACTATAATAGCATTACATTGCCTAAACGAACGTCTTAAAATTACTATAAATCCAATGAGAAGTAAATCCTAAAAATAGACAAATCTGTGTTCAATATACTAATGCCAATTTATACAATTCTTGTAGGTATATAATAATATATTATTATTATATACTTATTATGTTATACTATTCATATAATTTTTAATATTATAAATTATTAAATATTGAAATATATGTTTCAACAGTTATATTAATTAGTTTGCTACTATCTTCTCTTTGATTTGCTAAGTTTTTTGCTAAGCGGTAACATTAGACATCTCATTAGAACTATTTCCATAATATTATTATTTATTACATAAGATTAGGTACATACCTACACTAGAGTTATTTTTATTTTAAACATTATAACGAAATTCTTTTATAATACGTCTTAAAGAGTTTTACGGCTAAAAAACCTAAGTTTACGTTTATGTAACTACCTATGTATATTATATTTAACATTTAAATAAACTTCTCAGAATATTTTATAACTATTATACAGCCAATGAGTTGAAAGCTTGTGATTATATGGTACAAGCTTTTATAATTTGACCTATTTTAATTGAATATAATAATGTGTTTACTAAGTATAAATCCAAGAAATGTATGTACATCGTACCTACTGCATAATATACATGGTGGTTTTTTTTAGGTAAACACTTTTTTTGAAAATTATATTAACATTTTTGTAAATATTACAATCATTACATGATACAAAATTGAAGAAAAAAACTTATATTTTTTACTGTTGTCACTTTTTAATTTTTGAAAGACAGTACCAATTTAGGATATTTTTCTTCGTGAGCCCAAAGAAAATATATGTATGAGCCATAATTTAGTGGTTAAATGATGTGGAAAAATAAAAAAAATTGAATTTTTCACATAACCAGTTTTATCAAATTAAAAATATTTAWTTTTTTTGTAATTCAACATTTCTAACTAAATGGAGACTTGAATTTTTCACCAAATGTTAATTTTTAGATATTTTTTATACATTTTTTTAAAATTACTAATATTATAATCTATACCTACCTACTCACAATGAAATTTTCAAAATAATTTGGACCATCTTTGAGCTACGAATGTGTTCATTATTGACACCCTATATCATCCGTTCTACTGTATTGCAATGAAAGTCAAACTTTCAAAGTCTATAACAAATATTAATATTATTTTTTTTTTTATTTACATAAATAAGCCTCAGCGTCTATGGCTAATGGCCATTGGCATACAAGGAGCTTAAGATTAACAATTTGTAAGGATACATAGTATTAAAATGTAGTACATCAAATATGCAGTTTATTTTTGAGAAAAATGAGTTCAACTAACGACTTACGTAATTAATGATATTAAATTAAATTACTAATAAATTAATATATAACAGTACCTACTATAAAAGTATAATACAAATAAATATCTTTAGAGATATAGATTTTGAAGATTGTCTTCGTTCTCCGGAATCGTATTTCGTCGACTCATCGCATATTCGTTACAATGATGTATGATTGTATTCATATTTCATAATATTACAGTGACCTACTCAACGACGATGTGTAATCGATGCCTACTACAAAGCAAAGCAATTTTTTTTTCTAACGATAAAAATGCTAAACATAATGAATATTTCATATTTGCTATACCTACTAACAGATTAGCTGTAACAAACGATAATGATTATTTCACAAGAAATACGGTAACTTAATGTAAAAAATATGGTATACGATTTACATTCGTCAGTGCTCAGTAGACAGTAGTTGTGTATAGAATTCGATGAGGTTTTTTTATATACCAAATAAAATCCATTTATAGRCCTAAAACTATACCAACTTCAAAAATTTTACATAATTTTCATTAAATTTTGATAACATGACAAAATCGCCTGATAACCGACTAACAATTTAATAATTTAATCAAATACGAAATACCTACATATATAATTTTATCTATTGTTTTTATAGATTATAAAACAAAAATATTTAAATAAAGTAAGATATTTTAAGAAGGTCTTGCGATGGTCCAGAGATAGCTGAACTCTCCTAAGCTCCACTCTCTATTTACGTGACACTATAGTATAGGTACATACTCGTATGCTTTGGTCAGACAAACACGAAATAACAACTACTGTTCGACATCTGCGAATTTCTAAAAATATTTGTATTGATGAATTTTGTTTTGTTTTTTTCTTTAAATATTACATTGATATGGAAATATAACAATTATTATAGTTAAAAATCGTCTGGCTTTAAACATTTTAAGTAAATACAATTTAAAAATGTATTGATCTTAAAAGTTACTCTTAGATGACTTTAGACTTTTCCCTTTGAACTAATAAATTAATTGATTGCGTTATCAATTGCGTTATCTGATTACAACATGATATTTAATTCATCATATTATTATGATGATTTCAAGTCGTTCTCGCACTGGTCAGTTTTCTATAATTCAAATACACCTCAAATCAAAAAAATTTACCGTCACACAAAATTTGGAAGACCACGTATAGCAGTATACCGTTATATTATATATATACATACCAATATACCCATAGGTGGTAGGTACTCGTGTTTGATGTATTTTACAATTTGACATAATATAAGCACCTTCACAGCATGTCCATCCTAATTTTTCCCGCGGTTTTTACCCACTCGACCCGTTGTCTCACCATCGCCAAAGACAACGACGTAACGTAAGATTGATCAAAAGACGTCTGCGCGGCGGCGGCGTCCCAAGCAATAGATTGTGCACATATTATATATATGTATATATATACATCACATATGTATAACTTATACGTATGTATGAACTATGTATATAAATAAATAAATATATATATATGCATATCGGATTTCTCTCTTTGGCTCGCGCGATACACGGCCCGCGTGGAGGTGGCGGTGAGGGACTTTAAGGCGTGCAAACTGACACTGCTATCGAGTTACCGACACGAGCGTCCGTCCGTTCGCCACACTTTACGTCTGCTATATTATACGCATAGCTGCTGCACCGTCGCGAGCTGGCTATCCCGCCGTATTATCCGTCCTCTCGCGACGACGATAACGAATGGAGGTGGGTATACCCATTATATTATGTAGATACCGGCGGTCGGGCGAAATTGCCCAGGTGATCGAGGGTGGCATGATTTATGGCAGCGGCGGGCGGCGGCACGGGAGCACGGGACTGGTGCCAACGTATGTGCTCATATGTATATATTAGGTATACAATATATTATATACACACACACACACATACATATATATATATATGTAGGTATATAATATTATACTGTATTCTTGGGTGGGGGGATATACGCACACGGGCGAGATGAAATAAGACCACAACGATGTGACCATTTTTCATATTTCCTCGAACCATTATATTATATAAATTGCCACGTAGGCTCAATATGGCCCATAGTTTAAATATTATTGTTGGTACTGATATCGGATAGACGTCTTCAAAACACAAATCGTAAATGTATATTTCATACGTTTTTGAGATTTCTAAATTTTTATGCCTACTCATGTATACTTAGTAGTACCCATCACTTACGTGACTACTTACAATACAATATCTATAATTATATGGCTATATGTACTTCAGAAACTTCAGTACTTGCAGTTAAATGTTATTATCTCTCTACAGTAGGTAAAATAATTAAATAATAAATCTCA